AGTAGGAGACATCTTGTGTCCAGCAGGAAAACTTTAGAAATGAACAAAATGTGCATATCCATAGATTGTGGAATTTTTTTAAGAGGTAGAGGGAGTAGTAGTCGTTTTTAAGGATTTTCGATCTGGAAATTGTAAATTTTTGCAGAAAAAAAACCAAATCAGACACACATTATTGTTCCAAATAGACTATTGTATTATGTCTTAATAAATGTCTGGAGGGGATCTTTAATTTAAATTACATTTTTCTTTAAATCCAATAAAATGTATCTATGTATTACATCTCAACCATTAACTGAAGTCAAGTTTGAGACTACAAGAAACATTCTGTACCGCTGTCACATGCTTTTTCTTTTTTTGTACATTTTAATTTGTGTCTAAACTATTTACATGTAGTCTCAGACAGTTGAGACCAGCTGCACTGTACTGTAATGTGCTGTAACTAGCATGCAGATGTGTTTGCAGATGCTGTATGTCGAGAAAACGTGAATGTAAATGTAAATTTGTATTTTCTAAACTGATGGTGAAGGTAAGGAATAAATTAGGATACTGATGTAAGGGTGTGTCTGATTAACTGCTCAGAGACTCCATTAGTGACTGAAACAGAATTGCATTACTCAACTACACAAACACTGCTGCACACTGCCAACTGTAAATCCACCACAAACAAACAGCATTAACACCTGCACACTTTCATATAACCAACACTGCAACTCTTTGTTCTAACCTTCAGAAATCACCAACTTTAAACTTAAAATGACATCCAGACAAACTCCACAACAGTCAGAACTAATGTGAGCTAATGTGATCCAGGCTGATCTTTAAAGAAAAGAGGGGACATGAGAACATAAAGGAGGAAGAGGAAGGACGGGCCAAGGACAGGAGAATATGTGGGATTAATGACTGTAATATCCATCAGTGCGAGCTGAGAGGGAAAGAGAAATATAAAGACAGACTGAGAAAGGGATACAGGGGGAGGAAGAAGAATAAGGAGGAAGGGAATAAAGAGAGTGTCCCTGAAATAACATTTACTGTATATCATTTTGTAATAATTACTGACTGAAATATGTTCAAGTAAGGAAGTGTTACTTAGTTAATGTTGTCCACAAGGTCACCTCAATGTACGACAAAGTAACTTGAATTAAAATAATTTAATATTTATTTAAAGGTTATATATATGAGATTTCAAACATTAATACAGCAGCAAACAGCTATTCTCTATGTACAGATATATTGGAGTCATGGTGTCACACTCCCTCTGCCTGTGTTGCTATCACAGTCTCTCTATGGTTTGTTACCATAGCCGGTCTGCTCCGTGTGCAGCTGAGGAGAGCGACTGTAACTGCTGTTTTTATCATCTACGTGTGAATTAAGGATTTAATTCAACCAACTAGTGAGTTTTATTTTGTTTCTGTCCACTTTGAGTGGAGTTAAGGCAAATTCAAATTGCAAGGTTGCCCCAAATTTTGTCCAATCACCGCAGCTTCTCCACAAATTGGCCCAATCATTGTTGTTTTCCACAAGTTTCACCAATCATAGCAGTCCCCTGTGCAAAGCGTTGAGTGATTCGTCACCAAGCTACTAGCAATGTTATTCTCACAGAAACAAGTTGCCTTGATTTTTAATGAATACTAAAAATCACAACTATTTTGACCATTTTCACATTCTCCTGCAATTCCATTGCAAAGAAAATCCTAAAAACTTTAGAAAAAGTGCCATTAGAGGAGGGACTGGATATGCAAAGTAAAATGACAATGTTTTTATCTATGGAGTCTGATGGCTAGCGTGAGCGATATTACGGTTGCTGTTAATGATTAAACAAATGGTCTTCACATCAAATTCTGTGAATTATGGGTTTCTTTTGACCAAATCAGAGTTGGTGATTGCTGAAAAGACTGTGGAAAGACTAACAAAGATGTTTTTGGTGAATTTTATTTTATTTCTTTGACACTGTTTTGGTCTGAGATGCTGGTGCATCCAGTGGCAAAGGAAAGACAAAAAGGAAGCAAAGGAAGAAAGACGGAAGGAGGAGGAAGAGGAAGAGGCATAAATGGAGAGATGGTGAAGAGAATGAAGAAAAAGAGCAAGAGTAAAAAAAAAAGGGGGAGTGGAGAAAGAACACAATAAAGAAGGATTGAGGAGGGAAGAGGAGGTGTTCCTACCCAGCGTCATGCCCCTTTCCCTGCGTCTGTCCTGCGATGACGTCCATGATGGCATCCTGCGAGTACATGCTGATGGGAGTGTTGTACTGGGCGTGGATGATGGTGGCCTTGCCGCCAGGACCCTTCACTTCTATGGGCTTATGGGTAGAGAGGGCGGTGTCCAGAGCACCAGGGTTGAAGCCGGCGCTGTTGGCAGGAGGGGCAGCGGTGTGACGGAGAGGAACGAGTTGAACGAGGTTGAAGGAAAGGTTGGAGGAAAAGGTAGAAAGGAAGTATGTGAGGGCAGGAAACAGTAAGGTTGGTGATGGGGTTGATGGCTTGTTTTAAAAAGAAAAACATCCAGGCCAGCCATGCTCAAGGCAAAAACAACCAGTAAGATCCTACCAACACACACACAAAACTTGTATTATAAACCTTTGTTCACCAAAGAGCTTATTGGCTTTTTGTCGAAGGAACCAGCATGATGCTAGCTTCCGGGTTGGCCTACAAAAATACATCATCCCTGCAGTTTTTTTGGGAATGTGGAATGCATAATTCCACATTCACACTATTTTTCGACGAGCTGGTGAAGGTACCAGATGTACTTGGCCTGCAAACTGCTTTAGATGATGTAACACATTAATACATTATGATTGGCTGTACTGCCCGATCCGTACATCCTGCTTGATCAGTACTGCACACGTGCAACTCTCAACATAGTTGCTAAGAAAGCAATATGACTCACTCTCACACTATGTTAAGTTATCTTAGCTAATATTGAGAAGCAAGGAATTTTTACATTCAAAACTAAAATAATGCATCGTAACACATTGTTTTTTTCAGAGCTGATTATGGAAGTAGCTAAAGACAGAGCCATCTCGTTTCCTTCTCATCTCTGCTGAGAGTTGCACATATATTGCAGTGTTGATCGGGTAGGAGGTGACAAGGACACACAGTATCTGTACACTTTACGACGTACATCCAACCATAATGTGTTAATGTGTTATGACAGAATTGCCGAGCACATCTGCTACTTCCACTGGTTGGTCTGCTGTGCCATGCCAAACCCATCTGTGATAAAATGTATTTCCACTACACTACAGCCTCGCAGCAGAGGACAACTAAACTCACAGATATCAGTGCTAAAGCTTATTAAAAAATGAGACACCTGCTAACAGTACTAACTGGCAGAGGGAGGGTTTGCAATGATGATTTAAAAAAAGAATAAGAGAGACAAAGAACCTGCATGTTACAGATTGTGAGAAATATTCACATCCGATCAGAATATATGGTCTAATATTGGAAGAAACTGAGTCAGGAACAAATGAAGCCCTCTCTTTAATCCTGTACTGTATAAACAGCAGATTGTGTCACAGTGAAGCTCTTCTCACTCTGCACCTGACTCAGGTTGCAGTAGATTTACAGAGCAGATGTGCCAAACCAATGGCAGCTTATACAACTCAATCCAAATGAAGCTGCCAGAGGTCCCTTTCAACCAACAGGATCCAATCCAGATAAAGTGCTGTTTTTATTTTAAACCCTGTCTTGTGTGACTGTCAACAGCTTCACATTTTTTCTTTTGTGGTTTGTGTGGCACATTGTCTGTCAAATAAAGCTTGAACATATGTATTTCATTAGAAAGTAGATCATTTTCACTGAATGTTCCCTCATTGGCGGCACCTTCTATAATTTTCTTCGTAACAAAGTCCTTTACAGGAACAAGATCATCTTCTTTTTACATGAAGGAGGAAAAAAATAAACCAACAAAACAGACCAGAAGCTAAACATTTAAGTAGAGACGATTTGATCTTATCTATCGAATACGGCATCAATCAAGCCTCAGAAAAAACATGTCAAACAGTGACCTTTACACAAATGCCAAGAGACATAACGTAGATGATTGCATTAGACCAGAAACATTGCCAGCATTTCATCAGTTAAATTTAGCATTTTGTTTATATTATTCATAATGTGTCTAAGGATGCATGCAGAGCCAATCAGCACACCACAAACACCAGCAGAACAAACAAAAAAGAAGGGATTCGACAGCTAATTAACTTGCTGCTACTTCATTAACTGGAAACCCATTTGTCTCCTTAGTTGAAAGAGAAGAAGACCATCAGCCTTGTGGTGATTAGCTCCACAACAACTTTCCAGCTTTTCAGTATGAAACACAGCAAACCACAATAATGCACATTCACTGATAACACACACAAAACACACAAAATGTCCTTTGGTAGAAAGTTGTTTGTTTTAATTGTTTTAACTGTTTGTACTTGGAGTACCAGGTGGGTGGAATGGGTTTGAGGTGAACAGAAACCGCAGAAGAGCAAAGTTAATCAAACACACATTGCTGGCGTCAACTTATGGAGTCAAATTTGCCCATAAGCTCCACCTATCTGGTGCTTCCTGCAGGTTAAAACAAACTCTAAGAAGAACTAGAAAGTATAACAATTAGTAGCAGTGATTTCTCACAAACCCTTCATTTTATGCTTCAAATGAAGACTTGTCGGATCATCCAAGAACGTCTGTAACCTCCTCCCCAAGTCTTTCCCAAGCCGACGATCCAACATTCATGCTTACTTTATTTAAGTGATTGTTCTGGAGGCGTGTGGAGGTGCCTTCCACCTCGCAGCACCAACAAAATCATGCCTCTTTCACTTCACCATGTTTACTGCTGAAGAGCACTCTGTGCTTCTATTAGTCAACGTCACCTAACATGTTGTAGAATTTGTCCAACTTAGCGAGAAAAGGGCTCTTTCTGATAGGACGTTGTGAGCGTGGTCTTAATCAGTAGAAATAGAAACTATTTCCACCATGGACTTGTTTTCTTATGGTAATTTTACCCAGATATCTATTATGGGACAGTGATGTACTGATGATTAAAAAAAGACTACAGGCGGCACTTTATCCCAAAAGAGAACACTATGACATCCACAGTACCAAACCATGCCTTAAAAGGACCAAACTACAGAGCAAACACACATCCAAGATGCATTCAGCAGGAGAGGATACTAACTTGGGAGCAGCGGGGGAGAAAACCTTGTTTGACCAACAGCAAGGCGATGAAAACAGAGGGGAAGAAGAGAAGAAAAGGTCATGAGATAATACGTTTACACATTGTTCTTAATATTGCGGTCAGTGACAGTTACAACTGATGTTAGAACATCAGGACAACAGAGGCTACAGAGAGGGAAGAATTAAAGGTCAGAGGTCAAAGATGACCCCAGGTTAAGATCAAGACTCCAATATCTGTCCAATCTGAGTATGAAGAGAAATTCTTAATTAAGTGACACTGAGTGGAAACATCAGTTCCACAGTCTGCTTGGGTTTGTAATGAGGTTTATATTGCATCAGTTTTTAAAGGCAGTGCCGTTCATACCAAAGGAACCTGGAATGGGTCACAGGATCAGGAAGTTTAAAGGTTATATATAAGAGATTTAAACCTTAAATATAGCAGCTAAACATTTACTATTTAAAGATATAGTGGAGTTATGGTGTCCTGAGAAGAGAATGATATCACACTCCCTCTGCCTGTGTTGCTATCGCAGCCTCTCTGTGGTTTGTTTACATAGCCAGTCTGGCGGTGCGTGCATATGAGTCCCTCCATGTGCATCTGGCTTTGAGGAAAGGACTGAAAACTGCCATTTTTCCCATCTACATCTGTGATTAAGAATTGGTGATTGTTGGAACAATAAAACGACTAACAAAGACAGTTTTGGTGACTTTTATTTTGATTTGGTTAAGAGGTAAAATTACCGTTAGGAGTCTGGTCACGAATGAAAGCAATATTACGACTGTTTCTGGTTCAACAAAAGGTCTCAGCTAACTTAGTGAATTAAGGATTTATTTGTTGGATTCAGTGGTTTCGTTCTTGTTATCTACTGATGTTTATGTTATATTTTATATTTTGTTCTCGCTTATACTTAGAGGAGCTCGTTACCAGTGTATCATGTCTTTGTTATTTAGCATACTGACATAAGAGTGGAATCAATCTGAGATTCTAACTCTCCACCAGAAAACGAATAAGAGTATTTCCCAGAATGTCAAACTTAAACCTCTATGGTTCAATTGAGACTTGTGTGTTTGAGAAAATAGTAACTACTGTGTGTGTGTCTGTGTGTGTGTGTGTGTGTGTGTTAGTGTGTGTGCCCGAAAGGTTCCCTGACCTTTAACAGCAGCCAGAGGAACCAACAGGTGTTTGGCCTCTTCGGTGACACAGTAACCTAATCACATTGTGAACTGAGGAAACACCACAGGCATGCTGGGTAAGTGTGTGTGTGTGTGTGTGTGCGTGTGGCTATGATGATGAATGGTTATGGTAACAGTCACATACTTCTCTCCCATCATCACAGCTTTGTAATGCTACCACTGCTAAATGAAAGTGTGTATTTTGATCTGTTACAGGATTTGTGTGTGTGTGTGTATGTGTGTGTGTAGAGTGTTTTTTGGCTGAGCTGCCTGATCCTCCTCCTCACTCCTCACCAACACTCAGTGGTGAAAAAATCCAGCCCTGGTTTTATTTTTTGGAGACTTTAAGACACTGAATGTTCTGATGTGCCCACTTTTCTCCTTCTTTTCGTTGTTAAAGTTCAACAGAGAGAGGAGTCTTTACTCGACGCGTCAGTCAACATGGCAGGATAATGTTGCTGAAAAACAGCTGGAATCTCAGAGGTAGAGCTGCTGTGTAAGGACAGAAAACATCATTGGTAGTGCTGAACAAAGCCAAAAAACCAAAGAAATGGAATATAATATGCATGGGTATGTTTTAATTTGTGTCTAATCACCTGAATATAGGAATTGTTGTGTTTCTATCTACAGACACTGTGGGTTGCCTAGATTGCTGAACTGCCATATTTCTTCAGTAGCTCAGAAGGGACAAAGCAAACACTCTGTAGCAGGAATCAATGGTGGCTTGCCTGGTTACATACGTTCTCGTATTCCAAATAAACAGTACACTAAGATATGTTTCTGAATAGAGCAGGCAACGCAGTAACAGAATGTTGCTTCATATCTGATCAGCACTGCCTAGTTTGAAAGTTTGATCTGATTTAATTTCTCCGTATGGCTCAGTTCTATCAGGCTGTTTTTGCAGCCCATGGAGCTGCCCCCTGCTGGCCATTGCACAGAATGGAGGTACATGACCGCATTGTTCTGCATTAGATTCACTTCACAGATCTGGAAGCTGTGTCTATATATACTGTCAATGGACCAGGCGAGCTTCCATTGTTTCTTGCTATGGACAAGTTGTCACTAAGAGCAGCTCAACTCGCAGTAGGGCCCTGCTGCTGAAAAACCAACATGGCGATGGCCACAGTGCCAAACTCAAGGCTTCAAAATGGTACTCCACAAACCAGTAAGTGACAGCACGATTGGTTCACGCTAGCTCCCTGCTGGTATGGCAGGTCTGTACTTTTTACATCTAGGCGCTGTATCCTCTATTATTATTATTGCATGCTCTCCTGTGATACTGGGTTGAGGAGCAGCTCCTCTCACAATATGATGGAAATACAACTAAATGAAACCATCAGAGTGTGTCAGCTTAGGGGATCACTTTTATCCCCTCTATCAGCAGAGCAGCTCTGCCTCTGAGAAACACTCCTGCTACGTTTCCTCCACTTCCTCATTAAGCGTCTTGTCTGGCCTCCTCGTGTCTACGTACCCCGCAGGCCGACCCGCCTGAATGGCCGCCATCTCTCTCAGAGTCTCCTCTGAGTACAGGCCAATTGGTGAGTTATACTGCTTCTTCTGGGAGGGGCTGACCGCTGCTCTCCCTCCAGGAGAGTCGGCCTCTACAGGCCCGGAGGAGACACTGCAGGCCGACAGGCGGCCGTTGACCTGCACTGACTGAGGTTTAGGATGGAGCAGGAGGGGAGAGGAGACGGGACGGGGAGGGAGCAGAGAACTATAAATATAAAGTTCTGCTGTAAATGTTGTCTTATTATATATTTTTTATTAGCCTAATAAAACTGACCATATTTCGCATGTTATTTCTTCATCAATTGCTCATGTATTTAAAAAAAAAAAGAAATTAAATCACAAAATCAATTTATGGTAAAATGTGATTTTCTGTATCTCTGCTACCTTTGTCTCCCCATTGTTATACAGCGTTATATAATATGTGTTCTACATTATAATACTTAAAAATAAATGTATTTATTGAACGTTTTCTTTTTGTAATTACATTCATATTTTCAAAATGTATATACATTATAATTATTATCAGTATTTTATCAATATCTCTTAGTGGTTAAAGGCGAAAATTAGGATAAATGTAATGACAAAATGTATTTAATTAGAAAATAAACAAAGTCTGTATATCTTTGTTGTTGGGTGAAAAACACCTATATACAAAACATCATCTTTTCAGGGATTAAAGATATTGGTTATTTTATTTTGATAACCAAACGTCTTCATCCAGTGGCTTTTGAAAGGTTTCCAATTGAACAAGCATCAGAGTGTCTCAGCTATTGTAGAGTCCATCAAAACTGGACCTTTTTACCCAACAATCTGTGTTACTGCATGTATCAGGACAACATAGATCTTTCTTCTTGCAGCCACCAGGAGGTGACAACTCACTTTGTTGAACCAGTGTGACAGATTCATCTGCCCTTCAGAGAGATAATGTCCACTGTATGTGTGAATGTGTGAACCTTCATTCATCCAGCTTTTTGTTTGTTTACTCTTTTGGCAGAGCAGAACACTTTCACTTTTGGCCAGTTTTCCCAGCCCGAACTGTCCAGATTGTGATGCTTACAGATAGAGGATAAATCTATACATGTGCTTAAAAGAAGCAGCAACTAAAAACCCAGCATAATAATAAATAATAAACGATCAAAACATGAAGGCAAATCGAGCGATATGATGTGATCTACTGGACTATTTTCACTATTTCAATGAATGTGTATCAATTGTTAATATCTGTACTGAAAAATATATTTTAGCCAGCATATTTAACTCTTTACTTTACTCTTAACTAGATAGTTTATATCTGTTCTTTAGGACAAATTAGATAAGTTATTGCCACCAGTGAAAGTAAAAAAAAAAGCTTTAATATTGTTATCAATACCAGATAACATCTGATCAGTCTGATCTCAGTATCTAGGATGGATTTGAGTACAGGAGGCGTCTACAGCAGTTTGCGACACTAGAAATGCATTATGGGTATATTACCTGTTGGTGAGGGATCATGGGAATAGCAGAGGCATCGATTCTTGGTGTGGACAGCGGAATGGGACGCTTCGACCTGCAGGAAGAAAAACGGAGGTGATGACTCACACTTGAAATTAAAAGTTCTCTTGACTTCTGAATACCACATAAATAAAAACATCATGTTTTTTGAAAGTGAGAAATCATATGAAACATTTTACAGGAAGTCAATTTGTCAATACAATTTGTTTCTGAAAAAAAAAAGAATAGATAAGGATGTTTCTCCATGTTCTTCTACATGTTGACTTTCTGATCTCAACCTCTGAGGAGCAGTGATCACAAAAAGAGACAAAAGCAGTGGAAAGGAAAAACACACTAATTGTAAATAAAAAAATAATAACAATACAATATAATCAATAGGAATACCTAGTGAGATGAATTTGCACAGAAAAGAAGACTTTAGGTCCAGTGCAAAGGAGAAATTATGGTGGCTGCAAAACACATGGAAACGCGTAGGGCTCTATCCACAGCCAGTGTTTGTTTTGTCTGTTCTGGGCTACTGTAGAAACATGCCAGTTCAACATGGCGGACT